AGACACACACACACACACTACTTACTCTCTCTCTTTCTCGTTGGTCTGAATTCCTCTACTGTGTTCGTCTTCTTTCTCCAGGTACTGCTTCTTTTTTTTTTCTGTAACAAGACTCCTGAAATTTTCAATCTGCGCTTGTTTCGCTTAGTTCTTTGTTGATTCACTCACTAGTCACTTACTTTTTGGTATAGAAATAGTTTGTTTCATCGTAGCTAGTTTCTTTAAAGTTTCGATTTTTAGCTGCTTTTTCCTTGGAAATTTGGAGAAATGCAAAAGAAATTAGGGTTAGAAATTGTTTCTTGTTTCATGGAAAAGTCTTCTAATTTGTACTACGAAACCCAAGTTTAAATTCTTCTAATTTTTCCTGTTGAGCAAATTTAACCCAAATTTCAGCTGAAACCCTAATTTTTCTGGGCTCGTCTTCATGCAAATTTCACGATTTGTAGTGTAGATTACACAAAAAAGAAGTAGCTTTTGTTATAACAAGTAGTGATTGATCATTGCTGGGTAAACTTTGTGGAGATTTGAGAGTTTTCTACATGCATTTGATTGTATGTTTGATTTGGGTTGGTTGTGTTGCTAAGCAGATAAAACAAGTCTTGGAATACTTTAAGATCTGATGTCTTATCGATTGCTAAGTGTGGATAAAGAGGAACTGGCTTCATCACCTGGTCTGAAAGAACGCAACTACTTGGGTCTGTCTGATTGTTCCTCTGTTGATAGCTCAACCATTCCCAATGTTGTTTCAGTTGGTGCAAAGAGCAATCTCAATTTCAAAGCTACAGAACTTAGGCTAGGTCTTCCTGAGTCTCAATCTCCCGAGAGAGAAACCGATTTCGGTTTGCTTAGCCCAAGAACACCCGATGAGAAGCTTCTCTTCCCGCTACTCCCTTCTAAGGACAATGCTTCTGCTACTACAGGGCACAAGAATGTTGTCTCTGGAAACAAAAGAGGATTCTCTGACACTTGGGACGAGTTTTCGGGTGTGAAGGGATCTGGAGGAATCAACCTCATGTTGTCGCCGAAGATTACTGCCACCGCTAATAAGGATGTTTCGAAATGTGTTCAAGAAGAAAGATCCCATGCTAAGAGTGGCTCGAACAATGCACCTGCTGCCAAGTGAGTGTATATGCTAACCAGTTTATGAGTTTGTTTATGACTCAGAACAGAATCTTGTGGTAATCAGCTATTTGTTAATTCGGTTTGTAGGGCACAGGTTGTTGGTTGGCCTCCGATCAGATCCTACCGTAAGAATACAATGGCTTCTTCTACTTCGAAGAACACTGATGAGGTTGATGGGAAACCTGGTCTTGGTGCTCTGTTTGTGAAGGTGAGCATGGATGGTGCTCCTTATCTGAGAAAGGTCGACTTGAGAACTTACTCTACCTATCAACAGTTGTCTTCTGCACTTGAGAAAATGTTCAGCTGCTTCACTCTTGGTGAGAATTTTCTATGTATTAAGCAAATCCTTGATTCCGTTGTAAAAAAGAAATGAAAAAATAGTGATTTCGCATTTTGTTTGCGATATCAGGTCAATGTGGACTTCATGGAGCTCAAGGGAGGGAAAGAATGAGCGAGATCAAATTGAAGGATCTTCTTCATGGATCGGAGTTTGTGCTTACTTACGAAGACAAAGATGGTGATTGGATGCTTGTTGGAGATGTCCCGTGGGAGTAAGCTTCTCTTGAACTTAAAAATTAATTAACTCAATGGGTTTTTATGACTGGTTCCTGATAAATTTCGAAGAATGGTTCAAACATCTGATTTAAATAGAAAATAAAAAAAGATGATTACTTGAAAGTTGATACATGCTACTGAAAGTTTCCATCATTTGGTTTTGTTTCTCCGTAGACGTTATATTAAAAACCTATTTGCAGGATATTTACTGAAACATGTAGGAAACTGAAGATCATGAAGGGCTCTGACTCTATTGGCTTAGGTAAAGCCATTTGTTTTGCTAGCATCATCAGCTGAATTTCGAATACAAACTCAAATGGCTCAATTTATCGATAATTTGCTTTGTTGCAGCTCCTAGGACAATGGAGAAATCAAAGAACAAAGATGGAAACCCTCTCCGAGTTTGAAACAATGAGACTCAAGACAAAACACTATGCACAGTTCCAATGTTTCAGTCTTCTTTACTGATGAGTTTGAAAACTCTTTATTTTAGTCTCTTTCTATTACTAATTTGTGTTGCAAAACCTTTGGAATCTCGTATTTGTATGCACTTGTTCAGAACAAATACACTTGCTCTTATGTGTGTTCTACTTTGATCTTCAACACTTGTTTACTATTTTGCTTATGGTGATTGTGGACCAACATTTTCTTCCCCTAATTATATGCAAAACTTGACTTGTTTATTTTGTTAGTGCAAAAGTCTCCCAAGTGATAATTAGGATAAAAGTCGGTTAGTGATTAATCCTGTGTATAAAGAGCCCTTTTTCACACAAAGTTTAATCTCAAACCATTATTTTTTATCTATAAGACAAGAAGTGCCTAATTCTGGATTAGCTTTAGACTAATCCCAATAATTTATCTTTTACGACTATCTTAAAAGAGTTTGAATTAAATGTCTAGATTTTGACATACCATCTCTCTTATGTATGGCCTTAGTGCCCTGAAGTTTATCCATACCATTTCCATTTTAGCCAAACCTTCTTAAAATGATTTTTTTTTGTTTTAAAATGTTTTTTGGTAACTAGTATAAATCCTAAATAGAAATGATTAATTCCTCAACAATAGTCAAAGAAGAGCCCATGGTGAAATCCGTAGCTATGTGTTAGAGCTAAACTTAATTTCCAGTGTCTATAAAGTTACAGTTTGTACCAGAGTGTTACCACTCATTCTAATTCACCCCAAAAGAATGGAAAATTATAAGATCCCGAAATTACAAATATTTTGGGTTGTGACATTTCGACATCAATTGTTAATCAGTCTTATCAATGGAGAGAAAGTGGTTGGCACATATTTAGCACTTCTTAAGTGTGTTTGTGCTTAGTGCACTTCATCATTGACTTTTTTTTTTTTACTTTCGAATTTGATTGTTTTGCTATTCGTAAGAACAATTATATCAAACACAGTTATGTCTTGTTAGTGCTTTTCTTTCATACGAAAACAATTGTTTCTTTTTTTATAAGCCGACTATTTTTTTATATATACTTATTGTTTGAGAATATTTTAGTCTCTTGAAATAACCAATTAGGGTTCCAGTTCCTGCACATTCAATAAACACATGAAGATCTTTGGAAAACGACGAAGTCTCCAACGATGCTCTGACATTCAAGTCAGAATGTAGATCAAATGAGAGGGCAAAAAAAGACCACGGTAGGTCAAAAGAATGAGTAGTTGGAAAAAGGTAATGTCGGGCCAAACGAAGGTGGTCCAACAGGGAGAGACGAGGAAGAGATAATTAAAGAGAGTGAGTAAAGCTCGAGGGAGCATAGGAGGAGACCCAAACGATCAGCTCTAAACAGGCAGAATCGAGCCACATAATCCAAGGATGAACCATGTGACTGAGAGAAGAATTGTTTGTATATATATCCTAGGCAAAAGATGTGATCCACTTTTATGGAGTAGATATGAGGGTTATAGAGTGTTACCAGCCCGAGTTTGGATACCGATTTCTCGCCTCGGAGCTGGTTCGGGTCTGGTTAGTACGATACACTTGAGTGATTTTGCTCTACTTTATCTGAATTCCTAAGCCACTTGATAGTGCAGTTCTACTATGTAGTGACTCTTTCATCGTACTCTGGTAGCGCCAGAGGCGTTGGGATGCTCCGTTGGAATCAACTTTGCACAATTTTAATTGCTACGCACAATATGGACCACATGTTTTTACCCTATCACACATAAAGTAAAAATACTTTTATCCATTGACTTAGATTTCAAATGTTTAGTCTGAAAAAACTTATTTTGGGCGCGATAAAAAGTATATTTTACCTTACCCGAGCCCTTGATAGGGGAGCCCAGGCCTTATATCTTTCTCCAAGACTAGAGCTCCTTGTTTCGTGGGCCTTTTAACTACCTACCTCCGGATCTTTTTCCTCCGAATAATGAGGTTATTTATCGGGGATTCTTGGACCCAAGTTTCTTTATCTGCGGGTTCAGGTTATGGTTGAGCCAAACCCAAACCCATCATCTAGGTCAATTATCGAGCAATAAATTTTATCCGAGATACTAGAAACCCCATCATAGTACGTAGCGAAAGATGATTCGTCTATCTCAAAAATATTATTTTATCCCTAGACTAATTATGGTCTTCACTTTGGTTTTAATATTTTAGTAAAAATCATAAATAAACTAGATGCGACCAAAATATATATATCCTTAATTTTATTTTGTTTTTAAAATTTTTTTTTCTAGGTACAACTTACAAGTGAAATATAGTGGCCATTATATCCTTTGGTTCCGAGAATTGAAAGAACTCCATAATTGATGTCCCAATCTCTTCAAAATGACCGATCATAGTAGAAAATTTACGTTTGGCATCTTACATATTTTTCAGTTCCATCAAACATATATTTTCACTTGCACTCAGATAAAAACTATGTATAAGTCAGTAAATCTTTTAGAGAAAAAAAAACTATGTATAAGTCATTTATCTGCAAAATCGGCTAATAAATGGTTGTATAAGATCTATTGTTTAAAAAAAACAAATCGCCAAAAAACATTTTAATAAATATGGTAGTTCATTGATTGCAAGTGTTTTTTTTTGTTTTTTAAAGAATAATAGATCTTACGTATGTTTTTCAGAGTTTGAAAACGTTACTTTAAAAAAAAAAAGTAGCACAATAAAATGGGGTGTAGAGGCCCGTGCCTACGTTAGTAAATAAGAGGCCTTCGATTGTTTTTTTTTGTATAGTAACACTAATTGGTCCAAATATAAAACTATACCAAGATATGTTAAAAAAGGCCATGTTATATCTTT